AAACCTGACCTAATTTATGGGCTTTCATCCAACTATGATCCATAACAACTTCTGAAATTTATACAAGTATAATAATGTGAATGACACACCAAAATCTAATCCAAAAACTTCAGCATATGCATATGCAAATCTAAACCTAAAGCATATGAAACATGTACTCTCATACTGACTTGAGCATATATAACATAAACAAAGAAAAAAGGAATGAAGATGTTAAAGAATAGCGTACTTCGAAGCTGAAGAATCTTATCCATTAAGGAATGAAGATGTAGAAGAGTACTATACTTCGAAGTTGAAGAATCAAATGAACAAAGAGGGTGAAGATTAGAGCTCCAAATGAATGGATACAAAGAGGGTAAAGATTATGCCACTGATGTCGTCTCTAGCTCGCTTGTTTGCCTAGGGCGTCTTATGAAATAAATACAGAATAATTTTTTGTTTTAATTTATCAGTAAACCCTTTAATCGCGGTTGGACAACCCAACCGTAGTGGAATTATAAGTCCTCTAATAACGGTTGGTTTACTTCACAGTTGTAAAATAATTTACAATTTATTTTTTAAATAATAAGCTTAAGTGACACACGCTTAATATCCTCTAACAACAGTTGGTTTACTTCACCGTTGTAAAATCATTTACAATTTATTTTTTAAAATAATGGATTTAAGTGACACACGCTTAATGTACACTAAAAAATGGAATAAATGTAGTTGTTGAGAATCGAAGTTTGCTACACATCATTTATTACTATGGTATTTTAAGACAACCGTCATTAAATTACTGTTTATAAATCCAGCTACTCACTAGGTGCAAATTTTTTAACCTATTACAACGGTGTATATGAATCCGTTGTAAACCTGATGTTGTTGTTTGCACATTTTGTAGTAGCGTTCATCCCTTTTTACGACACCCTTTATGGAGACAACCTTTGAAACAACAGCTTCCAGATTATTATTACACCTCGTGTCAGGTTTCGATTTTCTGAATTCACCCTCCTCTTCTTCATCCGTGTCCTCCCACACACCACTTCCATCATCATCCCCACTCACATCATCGTCCCCACCTCCATCATAATCTAAAATTTCATTTTTCGATTCTTCTCTATTCTGCTTGAGAGGAATTATTTTTTTCCCATGATTATCCTCCACTAATTTGATGCTAAAGATATTATCATTCATCCCAACATTAAAACACTCATTCAAATTTAAGGTATGTTTCCTCTTCACCAAGAATCTTGCTACGTCAAAACTCGCGTGTTGCTCTGTTTCCTTATCTAAGTAAACCAGTTCACCCACCGTAGTTGCGACGAGCTTGAAGAACTACAACCTCCATGCATGGCCGAGAAGGCCATATCAACGCAACCAGGTGAGTCTCTCATTATCCACGTCCACAGGTGACCATGGATGAAAGTCAGAGAACCACCGGGTTGCCCAAGCGTTAGTCTTTTTAAACAATGTTTTGATTTCACCGTCTTCTATTTCCTCAAGTAAGCATAGATTTGCTCCCATTGGTGTTGCTTTGATACTTAAAAACCATTTCCATATAAAGCATCTTGCACCTTGTAAGTTGAACCCGGAACTTCCACCACTCCCACAAAAGCTTTATTAAAGCAAGACATATCCTCCTTCTCAACATTGATTTGCAGGTGTGCGAATTTTGGTTTTAATAAATCCTTCTCCCTTCTAATATGATCTCAGCTGATAAACTCTCCCCTTACGACCTTATACCACCTGGGCGTATGAGACAATGGCACAATTAGGTTTACCATTCTTATTTCCGTTGTACATCATCTTTCTCTCCCCTTCCCACGCATCACGATTCAATATGTTCCCTTTATAGGGTTGACTCGATCTAGAATTTCTCTAATATCTTGGAATGTTATTCACTTGGATTACTATGTTGTCAAGTTGAACTCCCAACAATTTCGCATCGACCACGTTTATGAATCGTACAAACCCGTAGCGTCTACCATATTTGTCTTTCCTAGGAGGTATGACAACTTCATCCACCAAACCATGGGTTTTGAAAATGTCAAATATACCCGTTAGCTTCCAGAATCTCTAAAAACTTAATAAAAAAATAGGAGATTGTATTCTTTACATCTGCTTCACCCTAATTCCCTTTACACTCCATATTGACCTCCTTGTAGAAAACTTTGCTGATCTTCTTGTTGTTGCGCACCTCCGTCACCCTTGCATAATATCTAATAAACGTAGCTATACCAATGTTTCTTAATTCTTACCCTCACAGCAATTGCATAATTTAATAATAACATTACATCAAGAAAATACACACGCCAAGCTTATTATTATTACTTTTTTTTTATTTTAACTTGTTTAATTTTTTTTATCTTGGAATGCACAACTTAATTATCAATTCCTACATTTGTAAATTGTATGCATCTTTCTCTCCCGCCACCTGGATCATAGTTCATGAGTGTGTCGTATAGACACATGATTGCTTAAAAGAGAACAAGACCTAAATCCCACAACAGGTTATGAATTATATATAAAATCTCCAATTCCCTCTTCGCTTGTATATACATTAAACTCATATAGCTAGGTTTCTCTATATCAATCTCTAAATCCTCCATTATTTCTTGTGAGTATCAGTTTCTTACACCACTTGATCTTCTAATTGTTTGTGTTCTTTCCTATAAACTTTATTATATCATACCCATACCCATAAATTACATATTTTTTGAATAATTCTTCTTTAGTTTTGTGAAACTAGCTATAGTGATAATTTAATGCAATCCAATGCCTCATTTTTATTATTATTATTATTATTATTATTATTATTATTATTATTATTATTATTATTATTATTATTATTATTATTATTATTATTCACTGTTGTTAGAAAGTAGCAAGGTTAATTATTTATATTCAACCGATATATATATATATATATATATATATATATATATATATATATATATATATATATATATATATATATATATATATATATATATATATATATATATATATATATATATATATATATATATATATATATATATATATATATATATATATTTATATATATATATATATATATATATATATATATATATTTTTATATATATATATATATATATATATATATATATATATATATATATATATATATATATATATATATATATATATATATATATATATATATATATATATATATATATATATATATATATATATATATATATATATATTTACGTATTATAGGTGTATTATCTTTACATTTGTTTTCTTGCTAAGCTCTCTGACAAAATTTACTTTTATATAAAAAAAAAAATTTTTAAAAGGTTTTAACCATTTATGAAGCTTTGAAGTTAAGTATTGTGATCCCCAGCTATGATGGCTATATAATAATTTTGTTACATGATTTTTGAATACTTGGAATAAAGACCTAACTTCATGTGCTTCCCATTTTAAAGACTAGCTACACGTATAGGTGATCATTAACTTGCCTTCTAAATCCCACACACATTAAAAACATATGTCATATAAAGTTTGCGAGACTTTGCAGCAAAGAATATATATATATATATATATATATATATATATATATATATATATATATATATATATATATATATATATATATATATATATATATATATATATATATATATATATATATATATATATATATATATATATATATATATATATATATATATATATATATAATTTTCGTTAATGTTAAAATGAGAACATATAATATATTTAATATTCAAATTAGTCTTATTAAGGCTTTGGTTTACAATTAAAAGAAAACATAGAAATCAAATGAGCATTAGTAGAAGATTAATCATCTATTATATAAAAGTTATAATTTAAAAAAAAAATTCTTTAATTATCTCTGTCTTTACATATAAGCTTGATATCGTTTATGGACCATCTAGAATCATTATATATATTTACTTCTAGTCTTTTTTTTCAAGAAAGATATCTATCATGATTATTAATATTTCACCATTTTTATTTTATGACCAATTGTATGTAAGAAAATTGATTTAAAATAATGTTGTTTTGAAGTTTAAATTGAATTTTTATTATGGTTTTTTATCTGTATATTCTAATTAGGATTATATGTATTACTTTCATGTTTTTATATTTTTCTTTTTATCTACTATAACTATAAATATATTTATGTTTAATAATGATAATTGGATAATTGTGATTTTTTTCATTTAATTTTTTTTGTTAAATTAAAAAAATTGACTTTCATTATGTGATTTTTTGTGAAAATGTTTACTGTTTCGAGCAAGTTAGAGACTCAATATCAGAAAAATTTAATAATCAATTAAAAGTCGTGAAATGCTGGAGGCCTAGTGCACACGCGAACTCTAAATCCGTATTCGACCCACATCAAATGTTGTCCTATGTTGTTAGATGAGATCAAACGTTTTTCCCACATACTACTTTGAAAAGTAAGAGGATCTCTAATCACTTCTCATATATTAGGGTTTCCATGTAAAATCTGACATATTCTAACTATACATTACTTCCATACTATTTTTCACTCAGGAACTAACTTGAGCTATTAATCTTATAGATCAATTTCTTTTCCACCATATTAATAGCTTGTTCCATCGCACGAAAACTTAATTCGTTGCAAATTTCTAATTTCACCATGATATATATACAAACCATAAAAAAATAATTAAGTAAACAATACAAAATCTTAACAACGGCATTAAATTTAACAACCAAAACTATTACATAAAAAATGTAACACCCATATATGAATACATGTATCATATCGTATATATCAACCAATCCGGTCAACTTTATCATGGATGGTAAATTACAATAATAACCCTGCAAAGTTTTCCATATCTTGAGGGAAATATGTGTTTTCACTGATCTATGTGACCAATATAGTTTTGACCATATTAAGTTTATAATGTACAAGAATTCAAAGAATACTTGCATGCATGTTTTAATTTTATAGTTAGAAATTATTCTATAATTAGTATGAACCCATCACACTATTTCCACATATCAATAGGACAACTTGAGTTTGATGTTGAGGCATTTTCATGATCCACCATTTCTTGTTTCTCCGAATTTCCGAATTCAACATTGCCATGAAACATGTTGTCATTGTCGTCCTTTGTTGCATCTTGACTAAGTTGTGAAGCAACAAACTTGTCAAGAACTCTCCAATCGGTTACTTGATCGTCGACATCGGAATTGTTTCCATACATAGCATGAAAGTTTTGTTGATTAGCTTGCAAGACATGTTGTTCTTCTTGTAGTAGCATTGGTGAAGGAATCATGGAATTTAAATTTGTATGATCTATAGTAAGCTTTGGACTATGTAGAAGAGGGAGATTGAGAAAATGGTCACGAGGTAGGTTTTGGTATGGTGAATTGTCTAGCTCTTTTTTGCAAGGATATGGAAGTTGTTGGTAGATTAAATTTGGTTGAGAGGTTTGATTTGGTGAGTCCATGTCTTGCATGAAAGAAACTTGATCATCGTACCAACAAGGAGAGTCATGTTCACTCATTTTGCGAAGTGTTGTTGTTACTCTTTTCTTGAATACTCTACACACAACCCATCCTTCTTCCTGCTCCAAACCATCATAAACAATGATTAATGATAGCTAAGAAAATGTTTGAAGAAAGGTATTAACTAAAGGTCAACTCAAATTTATCAATAATTCATAAGGAATGTGGCCTTAAATTGATGTTGATTGTTCTATTCATTGTATCTTACTTTTAACCTAGTAAATTATGAAGTACTTCTACCACTTTGTTTTATTAATGTATATCATTTGTCATTAAATAAGAAAAATAGATTTGTTTTATGATTTAGTGACCAACATTACTATTTAATTAAATATGTTACAGAATGAGTGTGGTGATCAAAGTTTGAACTTTTGCTACCATTGTCATAAATTAGATTAATTATTTAATTAATTAAAAGTAAATTGATATAATTAATTATTAATAAACTATATAAGAATCCATTATTATTCAACGTTAGTTATAAATGAATTATTTAATTAGTTTTTGTGTTTGAATGCACTGTGATGAGTTTTTGACCATTCAGTAAAATTTAATGAAAGATCATTTTCTCAAAAAAATCTCAAAAATTCCTAAACGACAAAAAGTAATAATCCTTTCATATTCTGTTTTTATGATGGTTTCTCAAATCCTTCAAAAAATACTCTATTCTTATTATTCTTGATTATTTTTTATCAAATAATATACTATAATATGTATCTATTTGATTGAATTAAATTTATCACTACATACTCAAAGATTATTATTTCTCAAAAACTTCAATGAAATTGTGTAGGTTATATATATATATATATATATATATATATATATATATATATATATATATATATATATATATATATATATATATATATATATATATATATATATATATATATATATATATATATATATATATATATATATATATATATATATATATATATATATATATATATATATATATATATATATATATATATATATATATATATATATATATATATATATTTTTTTTTTTTTTTTTTTTTTGCAATTTAAAATCAAGTTATAATGTCAATTATACAATACATAGTTTTTAAGAGTTGTATCAAAGTCGATAAGATTTGAAATACTATTATAAGAAGGATCAATTCAATAAGATAAGATATTAATTTATTTAAGATTTATTGGACCACCAACTTTAATGCTATGTTAAGTTATTCGATCACTCGGGTCATTTCTCATACTTCTCATAGAAAAAAATATTTATAAGAGGAGAAGAACATATAAAATTAGTTAAATCAAACTAAATTTTTAAGAATAACTAAAACAAAAATACTTTTTTCAACAAAATCTATAAAGACTATTATTCAGGTATGCGTTCTAACGTAATTAAGAGAGAAGAAGTCTTTTACCATCTTGTAATCTTGGGTTGTTTATATAAGATGATTAAAGATATAAATGAATCATTAACCAACACTAAATAAAACCTAGAGAAGGATTAATCAATGATTAATATAACTCACCTGTGGTGTGCCATTTTCATCTGACTCAAGCCTATACTCATGCATTATCCAATCTGACTTTTGTCCATTTGGAGCTCTACCTTTATAAAACACCAATGTTTTCCTCATTCCAATCAAATCATGCTTACTATAAATTGCCTTGTCTCGTCCAGTTGCTTTCCAAAATCCAGCTGCAGTTGCCCTATTTGTTCTTGTCCCTGTTGGATACTTTTTATCTTTATGGCTAAAAAAGTACCATTCATTTTGTTCTTCTGTTCCTATTCTGCAAAGCTCTTTAAAATTCAACACACATGTTAAAAATACATCAATCATAAATTAAACTATATATTTTTACAATAAATTAGAGAAAATATATAGATAATTGAATTATACCTACAAGATCCCATGGTTCAATTTTGTAAAGGTCAACATCTTTTATGACATCAAGATCAATCCTTCTAGATGCTATTTTTTTTCTTAGGTAGTAATCAACAAGTTCCTCATCTGTGGGATGGAACCTAAACCCTGGGGGAACGTGACAAAAAGTATCCATATATATCTTCTCTTTTTATAGTCCTGAAAACATTGAAAACATATATATGCAAGTTATATTAGCTTATAAAAAAATAGTTATATTAGAAAATTAAAATGGATGAGATTTTCAAAACAATAAAAATAAACTTGCTTTCAACTTTGGTGAAAAGAATAATTGGAGAACTCAATGATGTGATCAGTTTCAAAAATTGTGAAAGAGGGGGGAGATCATAATTTTTTTAGAAATGGTTTTTAAGTAAAAAAGGGTGAACTTTTTTTAAGTGAATTCAGAACTTTATCATCTATCTTAATTAATAGTAGATTGAGTTTGTGTTGATTTTGAGGTTGGTTATGGTTTCTGGTTTTGTTCCTTGCTGGTTTTAATCTGTTGATGGCGGTTCTTGTGGTCAGAGCTCTAATATCAACCCTAAAGATATGTTTATAGCAGCATTTTGGATTTTTGATCGGTGGGAATCTTTTTTAAAGCCAAATATATATATATATATATATATATATATATATATATATATATATATATATATATATATATATATATATATATATATATATATATATATATAAAGTTTCTACAACTATAATATGAAATGATAAAAGAAGTAACAATTTCGGAATCAAAACTAAATAGAAAAACAAAGACAACTACCAATTACAATAAAACAAACAAAAAAAAATAAAAAACAGAAGCATAGCCACAGAAACATATAGAAAACCAACATGAGGCTAAATTATATCTCTCTAATCTGAAAACACTTGAAAAGAGTACCACAGCTAAAAAAAACGAAACAATAACATATTTAATGGAGATCGAAAATACTTATTCCTTTTATTGGCTAAGAAACAAGATAAGGTTCTCACGTCAGATCGAGAAATCATAAAAATTATTTACGAATTTACAAAAATATCATTTACAAACCAAAAAGATGTTCAAATCATCTACGTCCTTTGATGTCAGTGTCTGCGATGTTTCTCTTAACTTGTTTATTATTCTTTTTTAAAAAACCATTAGAATTTTTTATTGTATTTTTATTGTTCATTTGATACTTTTTATTTTAACTGACAGCTTTTTTTACTTTAATGATTCTCACATCTTAATTAATATATTATTTTTGTGAAAATAATGGTGAACAATTGTTTATATATATATATATATATATATATATATATATATATATATATATATATATATATATATATATATATATATATATATATATATATATATATATATATATATATATATATATATATATATATATATATATATATGATTCCAATATTGCTAATTTCATGATACATGATATATACATGGAGAAAAAGCATGAGTATATATGATGATTATACATGTGGAAATGTTTACATAGTCAACACACATGTGATAAAACATTCACAATGCATACTAGTGTACTAGATGAACAGTTAAGTGATTGCCACTCATTGTGATCCCCACTAATTTATCACCCATGCTTCTTCTAAAAAGATTTAAAAAAAAGATCATGCATGAACCTTACATTGTGTCTAACATTAAGATGAAGGATTGCAAAATGAATGATTTTTTTTTTATAATTATTAAAAAACAAAAGAGATAGAGATTTAAGAGAGCTCACAGATCAAGTCACACAGCTAGCAAATATGGTGGTGAATTCACAGATCTTGTTCCAAAAATATGTTGCTGCATAAACTGAGGTGAGAGTTGTGTATATATCTCTCAACTTCAATCCTAAATCAGACAAAGATTTTCAAAGACAAAGAAAGTACTATATGTATATTAGAAAGTTCAAACAATAACCAACCAACATATAACTATATCAAGTCCTTGGGAATTAAACCCTTTCAACTTATTTTGTCTGCTTCTTGTCGGATCTGATCCCAAGAACAAACACAAACAGTATTGAACAGAATGAAAGAGAGAAACAAGAAGAACTAAAGAAGAAGAGAAAGGAAGAAAAAAAAGTAGGGTTAATTAAACAAGACGACAAAAACAAAACCCTAATGATACTTGTCTTTGTTTTCTGGCAAAAACAAGCTGGACTAGGTTGGGCTGAATTAGAGGAAAAGATTTATATGAGAAAAAATGGAAGAGAAGTAATGGCAAGAGAAATGGTTAACTCTCTCTATATGGTCACCTCTACCAGCAACTGATAGAGACCGAAAGGAATGATATGATAACAAAGTGAATAAGAAAATCCATGTTTTTTTTTTCTCTAGAAGGGTCTATTTCTATATATTTTAAAACTTCTCTTACAAGAGCTATAAAGAGAGAAGGAATGAACAAAGTGCTTAGACCAATCACCAATCTTAAAAAGATACATAAAATAAAATATATGATGTGTTAATCAATCATTCCGAATTTTATATTAGATGTTATATAATTTGAATATGTATTTATAAGTTGAGACAATCATTACTTTATAAATTATTTTATAAAAATTGAATTAGACTCTATTCAAATTATAAGATGATATTAAATTCGATCTAATATCTATTAACAAAAATCAAATCTCAATTATCTAACCACTTATGTTTGTATTTGATCTCAAATACTTGTAAATTTTGGTACATCTTGCGTCAATCATCTTTTTATCTATAGTATGTTGTATTAATCATATATTTATCTTGCGTCAATTATCTAACCACTTATGTTGTATTAATCATATATTTATCTCGTGTGAACCGTACATTTTGTATGTATTGTATGTCTACTTTATGTCAATTTTTTTCTTCAATTTATATTTGTTTGGCTTCTTTATTGCATCTTTTGATATATTTTTTTATGCAAGGTTTATACATGAGTACTAAGTGTACTCTAATCTTTGATACAACAAAATTTCCCAAAAATAAAAATGAGAGAGGAGAAAATTCAGACCAATTGAAATTTTAGTTGGAGTAAGAATTATTTTTTATTAGAGCCCACTTTTAAATTGTAATTTTAATATCCTAAATCATATCAGAAATCATAAAAAAAAAAACTTCGTTAAATAGAATAGAGTTTTTCGATTTCCATAAAATCCAAATTGTCACCATCTACACTAAACCAACGCTGCCTTTCTTCAAAGATTTGAACTTCTCCACTCTAGTCAAACCCAAATAACTCTCCCTCAATAGTTCTACTGAGCACCACTCAATATAGAGTCACTTATGTCAATCGTACTCATCTATAGTTTAGACATTTTACCCTATATATATTATAAATCTTATATTGGATGAAATAAAACCTAAAGAAGAACCATGTTTATGTTACAAATCCATTTTGTAAAAATCGTGTTAGTAATATAGTCTAACCTCCCCTCAACTAATTTATTTTAGTGATGTGATTGAGTTTTTTTTTTTAATTGCGGTTTGGTTTTGTTTGTTTTTGTTTTTAGTGCATTACTTGTGCTCTTGATTTTTTATTCGTTTTTCTTTAATATATTTTAACCTACTTTGTTATTTAAAAATTATAATCTAAATTATAAAATAAGTTTCGATAATAAAATGAAATAAAAATAAATTATTAAATATAATTATATATTAACAAAAAAATTAATATGTGTCATATTAAATATATTTATGATATTAATATAAAATGTAAATATTACTATTATAAGTATATAAAAATATAAAACACAAAAAAAATTTGAAAGTGTGGTATTGGTGGTGACGTAATAGAACAGCTAACCCTTTAGCACTTTTACAAAAAAAGTGAGAACCCTAACACATACATATGAGGCATGGTGGCCCGTTTAGGCCCCCACACTAATCTTAGTCCCTACCATTTTCCACCATCTGCAATTCTCTCAACTGTAATTAAGTTGGTATGATGATCTTTGGAAGTGACATTGGATCTCGTGGATGTTCTATGGTCCTCATTTGCCAAATATTGAAAAGCTTCTTCATGGCTTCTCTTCTTTGTCCCTTTCTTATTAGCTTTCTACCTCTAGTGATGGTTGTTAAGCTTATAATTAGGCTAATGATAATAAGTCTTGCAGGCCTTGCATTCATCTCAAAGTATAATTACTGTGATTTTAACCATCATATCTTGGTTAATTAGGACATTCACTACAAAAGAGTTTATTGCAAATGATTTATGAGAACAAAATATGTCAAATCGGTCTTTTAATAAGCATTTGGTGACTACTAAAAGTAAGATTTATCATTAGATTACAGATTATGAAATTTTAAAATGTGGTAAAAATTGTCTAATCAAAATCTTGATACGGTTACAATACGACTATATATACACATGATTGATAATTACACCAGATTCATAGTGCGATGTTGTTGAGAAAAAAGTAATATTGTATTTACAATTGCAGTTACAAACCAGAATTTAAAGTCATGTCAACTAGTAAAAGTAGTTGTTAAATTGATAGCTATAATTGGTAGATAAACATTTAGTGGGAAAAGAAAATGGTATATAAACATAGCGAATATTTAATGATGTCTTGTCAATAATTTTTAAATTAATAAGGTTTTTAATAATTTTTCTCTACACAAATGTAAGGTTAATTTTTAGTGATATATGTACAAGTGATCTAAAATTTTCATTTATGCACAAAAGATACATTGTGGTTTCACTATGCCACTATACTATTAATCCTAATAATATAGTCTTTTAAGTGAAAATTAGGAAATGCTTATAATACATATTGGGTGACTATACTAAAAGTGAGTTTTCTCATTAGATTTGAAGTAGACTGAGATTAAAGATTATGAAATTTTAATTTTTTGGTAAGAAGTTATCAACAATTGGTGAAATTGTCTAATCAAATTCTTGATATGGTTACAATGTAGTTATACACGTGTTTGAATATTACTTTGTATTATTTATCTTGTGATATTGATGTGTAAAAGCCATATCAACAATATTGCAGTTACAATTACAATTATTGACCACAATTTTAAATCATATCTACTAATAAAAATGGTTTTTAAATTCATCGTTATAAATCTGAAATATTTTATAAGCTATATTGGGAGATAAATCTATCAAATTTTTAGTGATATTTGTCAAGAATTTTT